GGGAAGGAAGGAATGGGGGAGGGAGGGGGAGAGAAAAGGTCTGTCTAGAACCAATACTTGGAAAAATTCAATAAAGATTGAGTACTAGGGAAGTCACTATGCCAGCCCAGCTTTTCCTTATTAGATTCAACAGACATGAATATCCTCAGATCCTTATAAAAGTGTGTCAACACTCCATTTCTGTACCCGTCTCGCTGTAATCTGTAACAGTTTCCGGAGTGGACTGGTACTTGTCCGTGGAGGCCACTCTGTGTTCTGTAGGTCTGGGTTTGGCCAGGGGAGCAGAAGCTGAAATTCATTCAACGTGGATTTGATACAGAATCCTGTGCTACGTGGCAGGAGGTCCTTGGCAGAGAATAAACATCGGCCTCACCCTCTAAGAGGCTGTGCATCTCCTTGTTCAAAAAGCATGAAGCCTGAATTTCAGCCCCATGTAGTTCATAATTACGAGCAAGTCAGAAATCACAAGAAGCGTATTCCGAAGCATTGTCCCTTCCTATGAACGACAGCAGCTATCTGCTGTGTTCCCTACTACCCTGACATTTGTGTGGCATTTCATTCTGAATTGCCCATTTAAGCATTGTACAACCTCGTGAAGTGAGTGGATTTTTCATCTTTGTGAAGAATTGGGCCCGGAGAGATGGGACAGCCCCTCTGCCCTCATGCTGCTTGAATGTGAAAGAGCCAGAACGACTCTGTTAAACCCACAAACTTGCCACAAGGCTGCGCTGTTGGGTTTTTAAAACCCTTCCAGATATGAATTCAATGTCAGCTGTACATTGATTTTTTTTATGTCCCTCTTCGTTATGAATTTGAAGGTTGAATTTGGTGTCACTTTGGGTGGGTGTGTGGGTGGCCGTGTTTTCAGATTAACAAGGTAAGTAGACTTTGTCTTTCAATTTAAACAGTTACTGGATTACACAGTTGTTGGCTTTAAACTCTGATCAGAAGTGCTGTTGGTTTATAGAAATGCTGCCATGTAACTGAATTGTTTCCTTTTTCATAGTGTATGAGTTATTTGCATTCATCAGTCACATGGGAACATCAACAATGAGTGGCCATTATGTTTGCCATATCAAAAAGGAAGGAAGGTGAGTCTTTTTAGAAGGTAAATGGTGTCTGTGTTTTTTTGAGCTCCTGCTGTGTGCTAGGCACTGTACTAGGTGTTTCATGTATTATTTCATTTGGTTTTCACAATGGTCTTAAAGCCATTTACATACCAAGACACTGAGGCTCAGGGAGTCTGAATAGATTGATTTTAGCTAGTAAGTAGCTGTGTCAGAGCTGGTATTCAAAGCCATCCTCAACCATCATGCCACCATATCAAGGTAACTTTCCAAAATAAAGATGCATCCTACAGCAGAATGTATGTTATATTGGGAACCTCCATAGGATTGCCTTAAGCCAACAAAAAAGGAAAACCAGATGCCCTATTAAATTTGAATTTCAGATAAACAGCGAAAAACTCTTTGGTATAATTATGTCTCAAATATCGCATGAGAGATACTTATACTAAAAAATAATTTGTTGCTTACCTGATACTCAAATTTCACGGGGTACCCTGTGTTTTATCTGGCAACCTTGAACAGTCAGTGTCTTGCTTTATTGCACTTTGCAGTAGGCTTCTTGGCTTGTTAAGTAGAATTGTTAGGTGTGTGGTGAACTGGGAACAATACAGATTGGGATATAAGGCTGCACCCATCTTCAGAACCTTCTCCCTGGGCCAGGTCCCTGCAGGCCCCCCTGGAGCTCCCCACTGAGTGGCCTGGGGGTGGGCACCCTGCTCGAGGCAGTGCTTGGGCTCTGTGGGCACTGAAGAAGCACGTGACCTTGGCCTCTCCTGCAGGATGTTGACCTCTCACTCATGCCTCGCACTGCAGGAGTGACCAGTCCCCACCCAGCACTTGACTGTGTTCCGTTTTGGTGTATCTTTTAGTCTTGTCTTCACTAGATTCATAAAATAGTTAAGCACAGGGACTTGATTTATAGTGAATTCTTTTTATTACCAAACCTGATAGTTTTTTAAAAAATACTTAAGAGAAATAGTTTAATTATAATTTAAAAAGCAATAAAGTTCATCATAAGAAGTTGGTAAAATATAAAAACATACAAAAATATGTCACCTGGAAGCCTAGAGATAATCATCATCTATATTTGTTTTTTCTAAATTTATCTTTATTGTTAAAAGTATTACAGATGTCCCCCTTGACCCCTTCTACCCCACCCCAGCCCTGTCTACATTTGGATATATTTCTCTTTGTTTTATTGTTTTCATTGGGAGAGGGTGTGGAAGTCTATATACACACACACTACATGTAAATATATATATGTATTTACAACTTTTCCAAAAACTTAATGTACACAGCACATGTAATTTTGTAATCTGCCTTTTGTCACCTCGTATTATATTGTGGTTATTTTCTCAATTTAACAAATATTCTTTGAAGACATTTTAATAGTTGTATGTTAGTTTACTGTCTGGCTGTTTACTTCTGATTTTTAGTTAGTGTTATACCTAAGGTTGAAACAAACACTGTTGTACAGAATTCTTTGACTCAGTTTTTGAAGTCATTTATGCATTTCTGCAAAAAGAATGATGAGATCAAAGGGTTTAAAATGTTTGGAGGCCCTTTTAGTAACTACTTTTTGATTGAGCTCGAGAATAAAAAAGCAACTGTAATTTCCCTCCCACATTCTGTTCCTTTTTATACAACAAACTTGAGTGGGGTTACCATAAAACATCTTCTCTTAAGTAAGACTCAGTAACTCTTCTTCTGCAAAGTTTCCTGGAACTGACTTCAATCCATTAAATGCTTCTGTCTTCTGTTTTCAGATGGGTGATCTACAATGACCACAAAGTGTGTGCCTCAGAAAGGCCCCCTAAAGACCTGGGCTACATGTACTTTTACCGCAGGATACCAAGCTAAACCTCAGACGTGCAAATCGGCGAGAAGCCATGCGCCTTTTTAATTTGCCAAAAAAAAAAAGAAAAAGAAAAAGAAAAAAGAAGTTGGGACAGCCAGACATGAAGGAACACATGGGGGTATTTATAGTTTATTTAAAGAACATCATTTGACGCCTTCTGGAATAGAACTGGGAAGACATTTCTATTAGTGATGATACACTACTGTAGATAGTTTTTCTTTTTATAACTGTTCATGGAGAGAATGATTAAAAACAGGAAAGCACTCCTCCTGCTGGTGGGGAACCTGCCACTGGCACGTCAAAGACAGGAATGTGCCACCAGCCCTCTGTTTGGCTTTGGGGGTCAGCGGTGTGGCCTCACCCACAATAAATGAAAAGCCCGCTTTTGTTTCATCTCGAAAATCAGTCACTGGGCTGGGCTTTATCTGTGACAGTTTTTCATTCAATACAATAATTAATTTCTGATCTATCCATGTATAGTAGATTAGAGCATCTGCAATGGAATATTTTTAATTTAATCACATCCGAATTCAGAATATAATTGTGCGAATGTTGCGAGGATGAGACCGAGTGTTGCGACCTTTAGAGCCGACGAGGAGACCTGTGACGGGCTGGTTTCGAAGGTTAGGCCAGTTGGCGTTCGGCACAGCTGGGAAGGGCAACCCATCGTTTAAAGAAACTATGACTCAGGAACAGTTAAAAAAGTAGTTCCCCACTAACATTTTCAGGCGTAAAAAGGGCTGAGTTGTCCCTTGAGGCGCTGTCAAGAACTGGCCTGGGTGTGTGACATTTGGTGGCGGAGGCCAGGTGCCAGATGCCCGCGGCAGCCCAGCGTTGTTCTTTGCCAAAGGGGGATGGATTCTGTGTCCCGGTGGCCCTTCCCCGTAAAGGTTAGTGTGTATTTTTAGCGGATCGCTTGTTACCCTAACCCATGACAGCTCCTAGGAACCATGTTAAGTGCCCCAAATTTGTGTGTGAGTTTCTCGTCCCTGAGCTCTTTACCTGCCTCCGTTTCTGCATTTTCTGGGGCCAGAGTCTCACCTCTGCCCTTTCGGGGCTGATCACCCGCTGACTCGCCTTCACCCCTTATCTGCTGCCACCACCACCAATGCGATCTTGGGCGCTTCAAGGGTTTCAGATGCAAAGAAGCTTGGCATACATGTAATGAAAGACCATCGTTTCCACTTGGCACTTCAGCACATTCGTTGCAGCCTAGGATTCGATCCGAATTTCAGATGTGATAAAAAAGTGGAAGGATAGTGCTCTAGAATTCTCCTGCTGCTCTGTCCCAAATCCTGGCCTCTCTGGAGTTTCTATTTCAGGTTATTCAGTCAAATGAGAAAGGATCTCTTGCTGTCCACTTGACATGCATTTGATTGGTAGAAAGGATCTTTCTAGAAGGTGTAGAAAAATAAAATAGAACCGGTTGGGTGAAATACAGCACAGACGGTCGGTTATGACCTGGGGAGCTGGGAAGGATCAGGATTCTGGTTATGATGGGGCCTGTCACATGCGAGATCAGTTATGCCCTGTGAGCACAGGGCACAGAGCCCCAGGATGTGGCCCGGAGACCTCGGTGCTGCCCCTGGTTGGGCAAGTCCTTCCTCCTCCCCGTGCCTCACATTTGTCTGCACAATGGTGTGGTGACACCTGCTGTCTTTTTCCAACTGCGCTTCGAAGACATGGTGCGATTGGACAGGATGAACCTTTCAAGAGCAGCAGTGGTGCCGTGGGGGGTCCTCGTACAGTATAATCCCTCCCTCTCTCATCCGATGTTTTCTTCAATTCGGGAACAGATGAGATTGGCATGGGGAGGGAGCTCACGGTGCAGTAATTCTCCATAAACTCGGCCCACCTGGGTGACATTTTCGTGCTGACCCTGATATCCTAAGGCAGCCCCGCTCTGTCACGCAAGCCCTTGACTCCTGTAGAAATCCCCACGCTAAGCAGCCTTACAAAGTCTGGTCTCCTTAGGGCTGAGGGAGTGTCCTAGAGCATTGATGCCAAACAAAAAATGACCCANACGCAAGCCCTTGACTCCTGTAGAAATCCCCACGCTAAGCAGCCTTACAAAGTCTGGTCTCCTTAGGCTGAGGGAGTGTCCTAGAGCATTGATGCCAAACATAAAAAATGACCCATTTTCAGTGCTATTACGAAGCAAAGGCCTTTTTTGGGAGGGGGCAGTGATTGGGGATTTGGATTGAAATGTGGACAAAGATAGCATGTGTATTTTGAGCAAAATAAAAATTTTATAATAAAACTTTGCAAAATGAATGGTATACAATCAGTATAGACAATTATAGGCGATACAATATTTAATTACGTAGAAAAATAAATTTAGCCCTTTTGATGCCTAAACATATTGTAAAAAAGTGTAACATGGCTGCCTTTCTGCCTCAAAAAACAAAGGGCTATTTCTACAAAGCAAAGTTTTGTACATGTGCTATTCTTTATTTCAGATGGAGAATTAGGGGAAAACTGGAGCAAATAATGGGTCTCTTTCTTGCTTAAAAATGTATTTATATGTATTCCTTAATATATTATAAGGCAGGTTTCCCTGGAATAAAAGTCTGGAACACACTGCTTAGCTTTACACCTGTATGTACATGAGGTTATTTGTAACTGGAAACTGGAATAATGTGTGGATTTTGTCAGTTGACTATCAGCCTGTTAGGAGTGCTCTGTGTGAGGCGTGGTGGTATAATTGTGAATTCTTACTGCGTGTGGGTGTGTGTGTGAAAGAGAGCCCTTTTTCCTGTAAATATCTTTTGATACCCATTTGTGTAAAATCCCAATGTGTCTTTGGAAAATATAATGTATCAAAGTTTTTATTTTGTCAGTTGATCTAAATGTCCATATAACTAATCAGAAGTCCATTTTGGTGCAAATTAGGGTATTTTTTTTTAAAGGGAAAAAAGTATGCAGAAAGGACTATTGGAAGAATCGCATTTAAATGCCATTTCACATCAGCATTGCTTCAGTATTTTAACTTAACCGTTTTCTCCCACCTACAAGAGAATGTGCCTGATGTTCCCCTGTGAGTGGCTCCTGGGTTTGCAGCCTGACTCCGCCTCTCAGTGTGGTGCGGCCAAGTCACTTACCTCTCTGGGCCTTTGTCTTTAAAATGAGTGGGTTAGACCAGATAAACTCAGAAGTCCCTTCCTGTCCTAACCATTGATGCTATTTTCATTTTCCTATGTTACTACTGAGGTCAGGTGTGTGAGAAGTGATCATCACACAGGTTAGGTGTTGTGTTCTTGGTTTGTTACAGCTTATACACCCCAGCTTAGAACCTATCTCATTTTTAGTGTCCCCACCCTGACTTATATTCCTATTTTCTTTGCTAATTTTCCCATCACTCTTGAAACTCTCCACTTTCCAGTCCGTGAGGTACTTTGTGACCATCCCCTTCAAAAATGAAATTTCATTTAAAATACCTCCTGCTCTGAAAATCTCAGAACTACCTTCAGCTAAATCTGTCACATTTATACAATATTTTCTTATTCTAATTCAGTTCTAGCTGTGAATCCCAAAATAAGTGCTGAGAAAATTGTCTATCACAGAAAGATGCCTTTTCATCTTGTAGGATCACCATTGCTAAAGCACATTATCTGTGGGGAGACGACAGGTGACAGGGGCAGGGGCACGACCAGGGGAGAGGATTAGATGGAGTGTGATTCTATCCTGTACCTTAGGGCAGAAATCCTAGGTTCCAGGACAAGGGTCTGTAGGAGATTGTGGAAGCTGGTGTATGAGATTACCTACGCAGTGCCTGAGGTCCCCTACTCAGTAAGTCATCCTGAGAGTCTGGGTTAATAGTCTCTAGACCCGCACTGTTCAGTACAGTAGTCAGTAGCCACATGTGGCGAATGGCCTCTTGAAATTTGGCTTGTCCCAACTGAGATTGTGCTGTGCATGTAAAATACACACCAGATTTTGAAGCCTTGCTACCAAAAAAAGGGAATGTAAAATATTTTATCAACATTTTATAGTGATTACATACTGAAATGACAATATTTTAGGTATATTAAATAAGATTAAAATTTAACTTATTCCTTTTTATCTTTTTTTAATGTGGCTACCAAAAAATTTAAAATCAGACACACGACTCTTGTACTTCTCTTGGGCAGTGCTGATCGAGACGTAGACGGTGCAGGGCACTCAGGGAATGCCTCGGGTATGGAAGGTAATTCTCCGAAGCATCTGGATAGACAGAAGCAACACAGGCATTTTTGCTGGAGTCAGGAGCAACGTGAGGCAGAGAATGCTTTCCAGAAAGCAGAAGATTGTTCTGTGTAAAAAGACCAATATGTATAAGACCCCAATGAAAAGACAAAAGAAAATGAGTCCCTGTTCCTTCAGCTTTGCCTAGAAGCTGCTAACTTTGGCCTTATTTTCCAAGCAACTTCCAGGTGCCAAGGACGGCAGCACAGGAGGGTGCCGGGTGTGCTTGTTTCTCCGCAGGCAACATTCTCTTGTGGGTCCCCCCAGGTGTTGTTCAGTGTGTTCAGAGCCGGCTGTTGAGATACTGTGTAAATCCTGCCGCCCCACACGCACTGCTCCTCTCGGCCTCAGCAGAAGCCGAGCCTGTCGCCTGTGCCCACCTGCCCAGCAGGTTTCAGTGTTGGCTCCCAAAAGAGTTTGTATTTATTTTATTTTGCACTAGTCACAGTTGGTGTTTGAACTATCTCAGATGTTTTGGGAGAGTATTTGCCTGTGATGGAAAGAGAGATGGATGATTTATTGCTTCAATTGTTTTAAAATTAAAAGCTATTCTCACAATCTGTGGTCCCTTGATGACTTTTTTTTTCTTTTGCAAAATGCCAAGTAAACGAATTTTCCTCTTTGTAGCTTCTTGTCCATCAGTGGAACAGGTAACTTAGGACAGTGACTAATTTTGTTTCCTTTTAGGGTTTCTTTGTGTGGGCCTGGTCCCCATCAACAGTGGGACATCAATGGTGGCAAGTGTTACCCCTGTGAAGGAGGGAGGGGCCAAGGCAGGGAGGAGTCTGATGTCTTATAGATTTTTTCTACTTATATGTCAGGTAATATTAGAATCAATCAAGACCTTTCTGTGGTTCCCTGACTCTCAGTTTGCTGGTGGCTTCCTTAACGCAGGTACCAGCAGAACCGACACTAGTTGTATCAAGAGATGTCAGCATTTCTATGACACCACGTTTCTAAGCTGTATAAGTTTCCCATGGCTGCTATAACAAATGACCACAAAGTTAGTGGCTTAACACAACACATTAATTAGGTGAGAAGTCTGAAAATGGATCTCATAGGGCTAAAATCAAGGTGTCAGCAGGGAAGCTGTAGGAAATAATCCATCCCTCGCCTGTTTCAGCTTCTAGAAGCTGCTTGCATTCCTTGGCTCATGGCTTCTTGACAGCATTGCCATCAGTCCAGTGTCTCTGTCATTGTCACATCTCTGACTGGCTTTCCTGCCTCCCACTGATAAGGACCCCTGTGATTCCACTGGGCCCTTCAAGAGAGGCCAGAATAATCTTCCCATCTCAGGATCCTTCTTAATCACCTGCAATGTTTCCTTTGCCGTGTAAAGTAACACTGTCACAGGTTTTGGGGATTAAGAGGTGGACATCTTTGGGGGGTGCTCTTTTGCCTACCATATAGGGTATGCTAATTGCTACTTCAAATATATTCATTTAATGCTTACAATTCTAAACAGAATGAACCTGTATATTTTAAAAATCCAAGTCAAATGATCAACTTTAGTATTGTGCTAATATGTTTTCTTGAGGGTGATAAAGAGAAAGAAATGATTGAGATAGGGAGGGATTATTTATGACTCAGAGAACTAAAGTTTTCTTGTTCTGAGCAACTAAAGAATGTAGTTACAATCAAGACAGGGAAAGCTCGAGGGGCTGGGGACGGTGGGAAAGATGGTCAGGAGTCCAGTGTGGGACATGAGTTTGAAATGCCGGTTAGGCCTCTGTTCGATGCTGAGTAGGAAACCGACTGTACCACGCTGGATTTTGAGAGAAGTTCCCACTGCCTGGCATATTCTTTCCCCAGTGGGGGGTAGAAGAAATAAAAAAGTTATGAATTAGGCAAGGACTCCGGAGAGGAGCCACAATTCACCACAAAGTAGATGGGTTTTTTTTTACCTTATATATAATAACAGTGAAGCAGGAAAGAAAGATGCCCAGCTGGATTTTACGCCGGGGAAGATGGAATTCCGCCACGGTGAAGGGCTGCGCGTTCGAAGGAGGGGGCGCTGAGGGAGCAGGCGCTGAGGGAGCCTCCCGGGGTAGCCAGTCTTCACCGAGCCTGCTGGGCCTTCCGTCCCCAGCCTGACCACTCAAGGACTTTAGTTAGTAAACGTTTCGGAAACACAGAAACTTCTGTCTCAGTGGCATCTCTCCTCCGCTCTGGGGCGAATCCACCCTTTAGCCTGCTCTT